AGATTACTTAAAGTAATCAAGATATATTTTATGGAATGATTAAAGATAATCAAGTATGCGTTATTCCATGATTATATGAAATATATAGTTGAAAAGCATGTTGAGTAAGCTTGATGATTAAAAATGTGATAATTAATTATGTATGATGTTCCAAGGACCCAAAAAGGGCATTTTTGGATTAAGGATGTCAAGAAGTACATGTGTATAAAATTTCACGTTAATCGGACTTCGTTTGGGCGGTCAAACGGGCGTTGACCGCCAAGACAAAAGTAATACCCGACCGGGTATGGGTAAATACCCGACCGGGTATTGGTTAAAAAGGGTTCCAGGAGCCACTGCCACACTAGACCCGATCGGGTATGGGTATAGACCCGACCGGGTATTAGTTAAAAACAGTCCCAGGGGCTACTGGCTCACCCTACCCGACCAGGTATGGGTAATACCCGACCGGGTATTGGGTTATACACCCAATATGCAGTTTTTGAGTAAGTTTACGTGGACCGTTCGGGTGGGACCCATCCACGTTGGTTGCTAAGGCTTCAAATATGGTTTAAACGCTAAGACTTGGACTAGTCGTTAGTAAAGAAATTAAAGTCCACGACCGGGCGAGGTAAGTGGTAGATTATACATGACGGGTGAATACTCGCGCGAGACCGAGTAAGGTCAGGTAAAACTCTGTAGGACCAGGATGAGTCCTTTATACTCAAATGTTAACAAGGGCAAATGCAACCCTTGAGGTGTGTTAACCTCCATTAAATTGCATATAGGTAACAAGGGCCCGTGTAGTCCTTGAGGTGTGTTAACCTCCAGCAAATTACACATAAGTAACAAGGGCAAATGCAGTCCTTGAGGTGTGTTAACCTCCATCAAATTGCATATTGGTAACAAGGGCCCGTGTAGTCCTTGAGGTGTGTCAACCTCCAGCAAATTACACATAGGTAACAAGGGCAAATGCAGTCCTTGAGGTGTGTTAACCTCCATTAAATTGCATATAGGTAACAAGGGCCCGTGTAGTCCTTGAGGTGTGTTAACCTCCCGCAAATTACACATAGGTAACAAGGGCAAGTGCAGTCCTTGAGGTGTGTTAACCTCCATCAAAGTGCATATAGGTAACAAGGGCCCGTGTAGTCCTTGAGGTGTGTTAACCTCCAGCAAATTACACATAGGATGATGGTGTATGCGTACTCCTCAAGGCGGGGTTAGCCCCGAGAATATAAACTATGATTGTAAGGACGAATAGTCCCCGAGGTAGGTGAACCTCAAGTAATGATTTTTTTTAATTAAACATGCGTGATCAGGAATGAGTTCCCGATAGGGTATTTTCCTTGGTCTAGGAATTTGATTTAAATCATGTATGTGATATGGGAGCCCGAAGGGCCCCCGAAATAATTATCTTTGTTATCGGGTGAGTTGGCCTGCGGGTGACTTCACTCGAGGGTAGGATATGGGAAGGGTGAATTTAACGAGGTTGTTACGCCTAAATGATTTGAAAGACAAATGGGCCCACGGGCCGGATATTTTACTCATACGTATATACGTATACGATATGTTTTGAAAAGGGGTAGCCAAGAGTTATGCCTATACGTATACTATCACCCTATGTTGAGGGTCCCATGTGAGAAACGTTAGTTATATTACATACAGTTTGCCCTCACCAGTACTTTTCTGTAGTACTGGTCCCTCGGGGGAACCACCCTTTCAGGTTGAAGCTACAACTTACTTCCTACACCCGTTGTTCGGGAGATCGATGGAGAGAAGATGTGGTTCGTGCTTCCTCTGGTTCTATTTCTAAATAATTAAATAATGCTCATGGAACTATTTTTGACTTATAAATTAATGGAGCCTGCGAGCTCTTGTTTTACCCTTGTGTGGGTTCTTATTAAACACTTATATTCCGCTATGTGTTTAATTGTATGTTGATGTTGTTATGTATGTTTACTAATCGGTTTTGGCATATGTATCTATCGGACGTCTTGTGCAATTTAGTAAGGATGAACTGCGGTTATTCTTATTGGGTTGTACGACGGTTGTCTACGTGGCACAGACACGATCTGGGGCGTGACAAAGAATGACTAAAATATTAGTATGGGACTTTCATGGCAAAAATATAACCTTCTTTTCAGTTAGACACATAAGTGACTAAAATAAAAGATATGGTCAAAAATACCCTTGAGTAAATCATTCCTTCCTTGTGCGTCATTTAGCTTCTATTCCTCCTGCTGCGCACTCAAGCTTGAGAACGGATGACATAAAAGTAGAGTTTTTTTCATTTTTGGTCCCCTGACTATTATGTCAATGACACTTTTGGTACTCGACTTCTAATTTTTCCATTTTTAGTCCTCGACTATTGTGTTAGAGACACTTTTAGTCCCTGACTTCAAGATTTCCCACATTTAGTCCCTAGTATTGTCAAATTGACACTTTTAGTCCTCTCATTATGATTTTGACACAATAAATGGAGGACTAAAAATGTCACTATTATAATAGTTGAAGGACCAAAAGTGTCACTTTTATGAAAGTTGAAGGACTAAATATGGAAATTTTCAAAGACGGGTACCAAAAGTGTCTTTAGCGCAATAGTCAAGGACTAAAAATGGAAAAAATCAAAGTCGAGTACCAAAAGTGTCAATGACATAATAGTCGGAGGACTAAAAGTGGAAAAACTCCATAAAAGCAGCAATGGAGCTTGAAATTATTGTGTTCTCCCTAGCGATTTCACTGCCTTCCCACTTGAGCTCGTTAGATAGAGCTGCTACACACCGCTGCGCGAACCCCTTAAGCTGTTTGAGTTCTCTGATTGAGCCGCCGCCATTCTTCTTCTTCTCCTTTCTTCTCGTCTGCAATTCTATCGCCTCTAGTTTGGATCACCTCCACCATTGTCATCTTGACAGAGTCGCGGTCGCTGCCGCTCAAAATCTGACCAGATCTATAGATTTCCGGATCTTGAGGGCTAGATTTCCACATTCGGACAGCTAGGAGTTTGGTTGGGTGGTGGGGCGGTGGTTGCCGGTTGCAGTGGATCAGTGGGCAACCGGCAAGCGGTAGTGGCACGGGGCGGATCCAGGTTGTGCTAGTGTGAGTGGGGGTGTGCGTTGTGGACCCTGGTGGGTGGGGGGGGATGGTGCCAGAGGGACGGGCGCTGGGGTGACATAAGGGGTGAGGCAGGGGGCTTGGGTGATGTAGGGGAGAGGGGTGAGTGAGACAGGGGGTTTTGGTGTGTTGGTTGCCACAGTCGTCGATGGTCGAAGGTGGTGGTCGTCGGGGTGGCCGGGGTGATGGTCGATAACAGTAAATGGTCAAACTCGATAGGTTGGATTAGATAACTATAATTGATCAAAATTTGGTAACTATAATTGGCAGGTCAGTTAACTATAACTGACAAATCGGGTAACTGTAACTGTAACGGGTCGAGTAACTGTAACTGGAAGGGCGAGCATTGGTCACTAGAAGAGCGGACGTTGGTCACTCAACGAGCGAACGTTGGTCATTGGACAGGTGGACGTTGGTCACTAGGCGAGAGTCACTGTGTCAATTGGTTTAATAGAGGTGAAACAGCACATTTACTCTTTTTAGTCACATTTTTTGAAATTAAAATAAAATGTCACTTTTTTGTCCATTATCTATGGTTTAGTGATGTTAATGGTGCCTTGAACCTAGGGTTTGGACCGCATCATGGGATCCTTAGCTTGTTGTCTTCTCCGATCCGTTCCGTGGATTTCTGTTTAGGTGTGTAGATGTGTGGGGGAGACACAAGACGAAAGCAGAAGATTGACCAGTGACGAAGAATCGGTCGGACTACGCTTTCTTTGTTCGACCGCACACAAACTTTCAATCGAGTTGCTTATTCACTCTTCTGCCTTGTGCACTTCAATTATGGTGCTTCTGATTCCTCGATTAGATATAATCCTTGAGTATGATCCGACATGATTGTTTTTCTTTTGTTGTTGTGTTATTCTGTTTTATGGCGATTCTTTCTTGGGCCCTCGTGCTCCAGTGCGTTTTATCTCCCTCGATGTGGGGAGTTTGCTTTTGTGTCACGGTCAGCTTTGTCTAATCCGGGGTTTCTCTGTGCCTTCTTTTGGGCTACGTAGAAAATATAATGGAAGAGGCATAAAAGTTGTTTTTGTGTCTAACTGTTTCTATGTCTTATCAGAACAAAATAAGAAGAGGAAGCTAGTGTTCTCTTATATTGTACCAGCTCATCCTCCTCCAGAACCCTCTTTGTACCTGGAAGAGTTTTGTGAAAAGAATTTATTCTAGTATTATTTCTTATTTACTAGTACTTGTTTTTATTTTAGTTCGAGTTGGTTTGATTTGGATACTTGGATTTTTGAAGTACTTTTGATAGATAGTGTTTCAGCTCCGGTCGTTTTAGGCTTAAAATTGCTCATTTAATGTTTAGCGAATCAAGTTGCTTTGTGTGAGATGACTGATTCTATATCTATTGCTAGGATTTACGATTGAATCTGTTGTAACTGTATGGAGGTTATCTTGTATGCTTTTTTGATATTCATATAAAACCCATTCTTTTTTGGACAAGGCCTCTCTTTTATTTTGAAAAAGAAAGTAATGTTAATGGCAAAACTTCTGAATCTAAACTTTTATATAGGTACTTTAATCTGGTGACCTCCAAGGGTGGACTAACTAGTTGGTTGAAAATGATTAAGAGCTAGTATGGTAACATTGAAATTGGCTGAATTTATGAAGTTCTGGTTGAAGTGATTATATTGGTTCATTCTACTTATTTATGGGGAGAAATTTATCAATAAAATAAAAAAAAATGAAAAGTAACTAAAATAGTCATTTATAGTAACTTCGATCAATACGGTCAGAAAAATAACTACAACCTTACTTTTTCTTATTATTACACATTTTAGCGTGCAAAATCAAAATTTACGTGATTGAAAAGTTAATCAATAGATCTAATAAGCTGTGAAAAACGGAATCACCCTTAAACCTAAAAGAACGTGAAAGTTTGTGAAACCTAACTATGTTGCACCTAAACCCCCTAAACCATCCTCTTCTATCAACTTCATTTCTCCCCGAAATCCCTAAACCTCTTGGCCTAAGAAGCATAGTCACAGCCCCCTCCACCCCCAAGACCTCAAAATGTCTTGTAATCCAATCCCGACTGTCCCCCCAAAATGCGGGCAAGGGACGAGATATCAGATCCTTCGCCGGCAGGAGCAAAAAGAAGCCCGGAATGCCCTCCAAGGGACGGATCGAAGGGAACGCGCAACTCCGGCGTGAGGCCAAGAGGAACGCCCGCCAGAAGAGCAGGAAACTAGCGGAGAACTTGTTCTACAGGCTGAAGAATCCGCACGGAAGCCACATGGATAATTTCTCGGAGGAGGAGCTTCAGATGATCGGGTTGGGGTACGATAGGATGGTGAGGTTCATGGAGAAGGATGACCCGAATCTGAAGCACCCTTTTGATTGGTACAAGTATGGTGAGTTCGGGCCGTATTCCTGGCGAGGGGTGGTGTTAGGGGAGCCTATTCGTGGACAGATGACAGACGAATGTGTGACGATGATAGGAGAAGTGCGGGACCAGGAAGAGTGGGATGAGATTGAGCAGTTTGATATGATTAATGATTTTAACAAAGCACTGAAAGCTATGGAAAAAGAGGCCGCCAGTTTGAGGTACTATTGGGTTTTCGTTAGGCATCCAAGGTGGACAGTCTCTGATTTGCCATGGGAACAGTGGACTTTAGTGTCTGAGGTTGCGGTTGAGTCCAGTGGAAATGAAAGAATTGATAAATGGAGTCTGATGGGGAGGCTTGGGAATGGGTCAAGAAGGTCAATAACTCGATGTGCGGCTTGGATGAGGCCTGACATAGTATATGTTAAGAGACCAGTATACCAGTGCAGGTTCGAGCCACAGGATGAGTTCTTCAAGGCATTGACCCCATTGCTCGATCCGGAGACTGAACGTGACTTCTTGTTTGAGTTGGAGAAGGATGATGGTATGATAGAAGTATGCACTTATTTTGCTGGACTGTGTAAGATTGTGAAGGTGAATCCAAAGGCATTCGTGGATGACGTGGTTAAGGCTTACGAGAAGTTGACCGATGCGAAGAAATCCAAGTGTTTGGAGTTCTTGCTCCAGAACCATCCGGTGCATTTGCTGCATCCTTACACTAAGGAATGGAAGGAGAGGTTGGAGGAGATGGAGATGGGGTGTGATGCACCAGATGATCATGATGAAGAAGAAAAAGATAATGAGATTGTGGATTGGATTGAAGATTATGAAGGCAAAGATGATGACAAAGAAGAAGGCGATGATGATGATGCTGACGATGATGATGATGATGATGATGATGATAGAGATGAAGATGGTGTGATTCTAGATGATGGTGAAGGCAAGGAAGATGATGATGAGGAAGGTAGTGAAGAAGAGAGTCCCGACTATTGGGAGGCCGAGTTTAAGAAGGCGATAAGTGGTAACGAAGAAATGGAGAACTTTGCAAAGAAATGTTTGGAGAAATCTGACAATTACTTTAATGAACAGATGAGGGAGAATACTAAAAAAGAGGTGGTGGAGGGTAGAGGAAATGGAGATGGGGACGCTTTGGGGGTGAACGATGATGGTGACGAGCTAGCATTGAGAGGTGTTAGGGCAAAGGTTAGTCCACAAGAATGGAAGTATGTTGGGATTGGTCCGTGGAGGAAGAAGGTGAAGGAGAGTAGAATCCCTCCTGAGCTTTTCCTGCGATCAGCTGTTAGACACTTCACATATAGGAATCTGGTTAAGGAAATTGTTCTGATGAGACATGCAATACTAGAAGGTGAAATTGGTAGAAAGAAATAAGAAGATGGTTCAGCTTCCTCTCTGCTCTTGTGTGCCATCAAGAGAGAAAACATATCGTTTGCACAACTCAGTAAATTGCGTGTGTCTAAGACGTATTGTCATCATTCTATCTATCCACTTCTGATTACTAGAATCTGAGGTAATTTTTTTCATAATTGGAACTTGATAACATAACGTTTTATTGACCTCTTCTTTCAAAGCAGTGTTTGAAATAGGTGATTTTCACTAGTCATTATGTCCGCCCTGAAAATTTAAAGTCTGCCCAGGCCCCAGGACCGCCTAGCTATTTAATAACCTTGTTTCATAGTAATCGTGATGGTAAGTTTTAAGCATGGTTGAAGAGTAAAAAGAGCACAATACAATCAAAATGATAACTGATATTGTTGAATGGAAATTATGGAATGTTTAGTTACCATATTACTCCTTGGGTATAAATTGTCATTAATATTCTTAATTAAAGGTTTAAAGGTTTGTACTGCGGTGGTGTGGTATGGGAAGTTAAGTGAATTAGTGAAACACAATACTCCTTTGGTATAAATTGTCAATTTATATTGTAAATTAAGTTTATTTTTAGAATAAATTATCTTTAACTTTGGTAAATAGAGTAGGAAAGTACTCTTTCTGTTTGTGAAAATAATCATATATCTCTATAATGCTTTGACCCAGAAAGAGCCTTATTTCAAGAATCAAAACAAAGTTTTCATTTCAATTACTATATGTTGTAGAAAGAATCTCCCAAATACTGAACAAGTGGCATATAATGAGAATAAAATTCTCATTAATAATCATTATTATTGTTACATCTCCTATATTAATCTCAAATATGAATTAATCCTAATATTACTTAAATTATATCCGGTAATTCTACAAACAAACTATTGACCCAAATGATTCATTTGAGCTAATCTGGCCACATGACTTGTTCTGTTTGGGCTTCATAGCTTTTTCATTTTCCCTTATTTTCTTTTATTTTGTTTCACTTTTTTCCCTTTTTTTCATTTTATCTCCCCTCCTTTGCTCCTTTGCCGCCTCGTCCTTTTCTTTTATCCCCTCTCTTCTGGACCGTGTCCCCTACTGTCCGCTGCTTCTCTTTTTTTTCTTTATTTATTAGATCACAGCTCCATCACCTATTCACCTCCATGTCTTCTTCCTATGCCTTTCGTCTGCCCCTGAATTTCATTGTATGGGTTTAGAATTTAGATTTTCAGCCATTCCAAATCTAATTTGGATTTCCACGATTGGATGGGAGAGACCTTGTTATACCCTTCATGTCGATTTGGATCTTCGGTCTTGCATTACATAAAAAAACTACCTACTGAGAAAGAAAATCCATTTCAATACATATACACTGTATGCGTATAAGCTCAGGTGGATTGAAGTAACGGCTCATGCCTGCAGGTAGATTGAAGTAATGCTGAAGCCTGAAGCTGCAAAAAACTGATTCTGAATGAGACATACAAAGGACATTTTTGGGATTGCAAATTGACCGCTGCAAGAAGCCAAGAAATCCATGGCTAACCATTTTTTCTTTCATTCATTCCTTTTGTGCTGGTTTTACAAATTGCAAACATTTTGGGATCAATTTGGTACGAATTATTTTAGAATTATTCATACTTTAGTAAAAACTGAAATTATTTATGTGAATTTTCTTAAAAATAGAACATACTATTCTTGATGTAGAAAGGATGATAATAGGCAATATTCTTGATATTTTTACTTGGACACGTTTCAATCCCAAATCAAAACAGACGATAATAGACTTTAATAGACTAAAATAAATTTAAAAACAAACCAAACTAGACCAGACTTCGACAATTATGAATACACATATAATAGACATCTACCAAAGTAGACCCATTAAGACCACATTAGACTTGGTCTTAAACATACCAAAATAGATCAAATTAGAAAATTTCAGTCCAATTAAAGCATCATAAAAAGCTCTTCATTAGCTCATTGTCAGAACAAGATCAATAGATTATGACACAACGGATGGTGGCATGCGATGCTTATGAGAAAATCACAGTTGCTGGTTGCCATAAAAGCAGCTCTCAGCATGTTAAATAAAAGTAACTTTACAGTAGAGCGTTTACTTTTTCAGACATTTCTAGACAGAAAAAAATTCCTCAGGAACGTAAAACTTCAGTCCAATGGCCTGCAGTCCAATCCAAGAAGAAACAACCTTAGTATATCATGACATAGTCAATATCAGGAAAATGTTGGTGTATAAAAAAATGTCGATGTATGAACCGATTATACTCCTTAAAGCACATCAAATGTTGGGTTACCTTGGCAAATTCAATGTCTGCACTACTATGATCATTCTTTCTACCAGCAGCATCGCCAACATAAAAAGATCTAGAATTGAAAGTGATAATTGTGTTGGATCATTGACGTTATGGGGGTAAAGCAATGCATTTTTTTAAGACCGAACAAACAAAACAGGATGGAGATTAACTTATCCATGTCAATTGGAAGTCCAGAATTAAAATGCTGCTTAAGAAGACTCCACATCCCAATCTTTGGTTTGCGAAAGGGATCCACTGTGTTACCACTTGAGCCACAAGCAATGAAGACCTTCATTTCACAATATATGGAGAACAGGACTTCATGAGTGAGTTACTAAAAGCAGCACCTTTTAGAGAAGGGGCAACACAGGCAAACCCACAAACAACTACAGCTACTTGAATAACAAAATGGTGATAGGGTGACCTATTGAAAGATGAGCATAAACCACCTGAATTGGGACCTTCACGAGTTTAATAAAGCCTTCAAGTCGACCGATTTTAGAGTCCACAGCTGTCTGTCTCTTATTCTTCCAGCGGTCTATATTGGATTCATTCGTAAAGATTACCTTTTTTGCGACCACCAAGTTAGTTTGCAAATCAGGTAATTGATTGAGATCATATATGCCTCCAAATAATAATGCAAAGATATTATCATATTCATGAAATATGCAGAACACAAAGTAACAAGGCACTACTTACTGTAGTTACTACAGTATGAAATAAAAACACTAACCAGCTTATAGCCATCATTGTACAAGCTCTGAAGTTTCTCTGGTACTGAAGGATACATAAGAGACCAAGCCTCTGCACCAATTCTACATATAAAAGGGAAAGGTTGAAAGCTATAATGCAATAATTGAATTCCTCAACCACCAATCAGGTTCTCTTATGACTAAAAGGAGGATTTGCTTATAGAGTTGTATAAATAATTGAAATTAGAATACTAAAGGTGAGGGTGGCGTGTTGCCCTGTAAACAGTACCTTTTTACGGATGTCTTGGCAAGACAACCATCAAAATCAAATGCAGCAATCTTTTCTGAGTCAATAATTCCCTCATCCTGTAGACGAAGATGTGCGATTAATTAGGATTTCATTTTAGCTTCAGAGAACACAAGGCATTCAACCCAAAGCTTTAAGCAAACCCAACTACCACAAGTAGAACAGAAACCATCAAAACGGACCAAAACAAAAACATCCACACCACAAGTATTCAATCAGAATATTCCTGATGTTTTATTTTAGGAAAGGAAATTAGAAATAAAAAGGCAGCCTGGTGCACATTGGCATCTCTGCAAGGCGGGGATTCAAGAAAGAGACCTCAAGGGTGTGGTTAGGGGGGGCAAGCCTTCCCTAACCATTTTGACAAGAGACTGCTCTCAAGATTGGAACTTGTGACCTCTCGGTCACACAGCAACATGGTGACCCGCGCCAATGAAATTTCCTTGTGGCTCAAGGAACTTAGAATATTGGATGAAAAAAACGCATACCATATGGTCCATATCAGACCAGAAAGGTTTAGATCAGGTCACACTTTTCAGTCAAAGAAAGCAAGTCCTTAACCTGGTGGTAAATAAACCGCTTTATATGGTTGTGGATTGGGTTCACATCCAATACACTCTGTAGCAAAAAAAAATATTGAGTAAAAGTAGTTTTCCTTTAAACTCAAATTTCATGATATTCATGTCAAGGATTGTGCTGCAATGTACCGATTGTCAACACATTAAGTAACATGTGCTTAGTTCTAAGCCTATAATTTCTAAGCTTAAATTAGCTTTATACAGTTGTACTGTATCTCCACAATTGGCGGGCCAATGTATATACAGATAAAATAAACACGCACCTGTTCAAGATATATCGCTGTCTGAAATGCCTTCCACTTTGGTAATAGTTTGGCACCCTGATAGAAGAATTTTTTAGTAAAAACACTGCTTCAAAGAAAAGTAAATCATGTTCCTATACACATAGGGTGAGGGGTATAAAGAGCTTTAAAATAAGCACGGATTGAGTAAAACAGATACTCCAGCCGTCCCCAAATTAGATTCCACCTTGCTTTTGGCATGCTTGTAAAAAAGTGAAATTGTGTGGTTAAGAGTTATTTTGAATGGAGATAGAAGATATAAATCACACATTTTTTCCTTAAAATGAAATGGTAATGTAACTTTAAAATTGACAAAATATGGAGTCCAGATGCTAATTTAGGGACAAAGGGAGAACTAGAACTGTAAAATAATCCTGTTTTACAGTATAATGAGGATACAAATTATGGGGGACTAGAGGATACATTCATTGACCATCACATTGTAGAGAAATCATACCTTATAATGACTCTTCACATCAGCAATAGAGAACGCTATCTCCAGCTCTAGTTCTTTGACAGAGACAGATGACTAGATAAATTTGGAATCAAGTGAGAAATACACTTGAAATCCTCTTCAATTGAATTAGTGTCAAAAAAGCACATAAAATGCCCAGTAACATGGACCATTGAAATTTGATATATGATTGATCATTGGAATACTTGCAGATACAATTTAGCCCACCTTAATACCACGGTGGCGAAAATGAGTAGATGAGATTATTAGAGCCTTTCAGGAAACATTCAAAGAAGTTTTTTATACTACATATTGCATGTCACATTAAAGATCCCCTTCCACTTTTTTAGTTGCCTCAACATTTTAGAGAGTTCATATCCAAACATGACTCAAAACACAACTAAAGCAGGAGGAAAATATTATGCTTATGATTTATCTTTTCCTTTTTTATCTTATTTTCTTCTGACTCGGAGCATTCCTTTATATCAGTTTCATATACCAAATGGCAAGCATATATTAAAGCAATCCAAAATCAAGATACAACTGAATCCAAAATCCAAATACAACCTTCTCTAGAGAAGGTGAAAACTGTGGACATCT